TTTAAAAAAAAAAAAAAAAAAAAAGAACACAGAAAGATTGCAAACCAAGATTCAAAAACACTATTCAACTCTGATGTTGAGACCTTTTTTCTCTCATGGGGGAAATAAAAGTTTGAGAGCTGAATTCTGAGATCCTTCTGATGTCAGAGGAAAACTGGAGGTTTACTGCTTCCAAATACAAGCGCATACAAACATACCCTAATGGCTCTGGCCCTTCTTGTCAGAGGTGAGCTCAAAATATGGTCACCGTGGGGCAAAGGAGCCATACAAGAATAGTGTTGGAAATTGCAGCTACTTTAAATATTGGAAAGGAATAATTACTAAGGGCAAACTAAAATCCTGATGTGTTGATTGCTAATCTAGTTTGAATTATTATGTTAGTTAAATATTTGTCTGACTGAGTTCCTCATTTGAAGGTCACTGCTGAATTCTAAAATAGTATGTGTTCAAACAGTTTCTGGCCACACTTTTCCTCTTTCCTTTTATAATTGCTTTGATGCTGTTCAGAGCTTGTTTGAGGCCAGTGTCTGATCTGAGGGTAGAAGGTTAGCATTAGTTCACAGACTTCAGGAGCTTCGTTGGCCAGCTGCTGACCACATTGGTGAACCCCAGCCAGAGATCAGAGAAACCACATGGCTAATAGTTGTGGTTGTCATTGCTTTAGTTGTTGTTATGGGCAGAACTCAGAACAAAAGAAACAAGAATTCATAGAATTACAGGATCACAATTATAAGTCCTAAGGGCCATATAGTCCATTTTTGATCCATCAGACAACCACACCTAACTTCTCCCCCCAGAGTCTGACATTCTATTCTATTTAAAACATATCCGGAAAAGGGAAAACTGGGTAAAATCAAACATACTTGATTTATTGTCTGGTTGTCTTTTAAAGTGCTCGTGGTGGTCAGAGAATCATTAAATCGAGAAACAAATGGTTCAGGAAGGATAAACAAATCTGATCTTGAAGAAAAAAGAAATGTGTCTCAACAAGGAGAGTGAAAATAATTGAAATTTCGTTGTAATGTTTCGGTGTCTGTTTTCCATAAAATAATCCTATAATTGTCTACTGTGTGACAGCCTGAGTCGCTCAACCAGTGGAATGATTAATGAAAACGGCAGTGAAGGATTTGTCACACTGACACAGGGCAAGGAAGTGTGTGATAGTCATTAGAAAGCCAAAACCAAGGTAAACATCACTGTTAGGTTAGCAGATGTAGACTGAACATTGAGGAATCTGTTTTGGATGTGGTTATAGAACTACCCATCTCACTGTCTCATTTTCCTAAATGGTCAGCTTAGCAAGTGTGCAGTGGATAAATCCAAGGGTGGGTCCCAGGTTGCGGGACCAGAGATCCATAGTCTATCCAGGACCCTTGACTGAAATGTGATTTGATATGAGAAATGGGAAGCGTGGAGGCAGCCAAGCCCGGACAGAATTCCAGGTGGGCCTGTGAAACACACAGACCTTTGTTTTCATCATTTTAAAATATAGGAAGATAATGTTAACTTTACATTGGCTCAAATTAAAGTAGGTGAAATAATCTGTTCATGGTGCATGCTCAGATTGAGTGGGTGTTCCTTTTTAATCCCCTGCCTGAATCCTGGATACATATGATGGTCGCAAGGGGGAAAGTGCCATAAAAATGTGACTGTTTTAGTAAGTTTGTCATCACTACCTATAAAGTACACACCCTTCTATCTCTGAAAAAGTCAAGGGAGGTGTTGTTTTGCTAGGTCTTATAACAAGACAACTTGAGTGATAGCATCACTGGAAGGTGTACTTTTTTAGCATTTGTACTGATTTCCAATAGAGAAAACATGTTTAGAAATAATGGCAGATTAGTCATTCATTTATCAACTATGTTTTTATGTACCTACTGTGTGCTGGCTATTGTACACATTGTGGAAATAATAAGCCATGAAATGGTAGACTTTGCCTTATCACATTTGAGTCAGGTTTTCCATAATGTATTTTTAAAAGATATTGTGATCTTTACAAGTTTTGTGCTTTATTCATTTTTGTGTCTACTCAAGTATCTTTTATGATACCTTTGACAGAAGAGTTGCCCAATAAACCATCATTGAATGAAGATTATATAATACATCTGTACCAGTGAAATGATTAGTCAAGAAAATGTGCTTTTTTGGTAAATTTACAGAAATTTTACTTGATGAATGTTCACGTACTGTCCCTAAAAGGAGAATATAGCAAAGTTATACAACAAATTTCAGACGTGGAAGCTAAAAAGTACTCATGAGTATGAATGGATAAGCTGCTTTGATTTAATACTTTGCCTAAATAATTATTATTGCACAAGAGGAGTGCATCAGTGAAGGGATCTTGTGTGAGTTATGTCAATTAAGTTCTTCCGTCATAATTTGGAAGGGGTTTAGGATTTGGAGTAGGTCAGACCAGGTTTAATTCTGACTCTATCACTTAACCTCTCTGAGCCCCAATGTCCTTACGTTGAAATGGGAATAATGATAACTGCAGCATATGATTATGGCATGGAAAAAATGAGAGCTCTCCAGAATTCCCAGTCTTTGAACTTCAGGGCCCTGGAGAGCCTTGGACGTATTGTGAAAGTTCTGCAGATCCATATGTACCCACGTAATGCATCTAGTCTATCTAGAATATATGAGCATTGCTGTTTTTCAAATGCATGTAGGCTAATTCAAGATTCATTCATTGAGCAGCTGTTTATTGAGCACTAACGAACAGCATCAGGTACAGGGGATACTCTAATAAGCAAAACAGACAGATATCCCTGTGTCTGTGGATCTTCTATTCTAGTGTGGGTAGGGGAATAACAATACACAAGGTAAAAAGTAAAAGTTTGTTGGAGAGTGATAAAGATTAAGATGAAAGAGGAGAGAAGGGGATTATAAAATATCAAAAAAGGGGTGTTAAAATTTTTGATAGGGGGGCCATGGAGGGCAACCCTCGGAAAGCCTCACTGAAGGAAGTGAGGGAGTTAACCATATGGATATCTGGGGAAGAACATTCCAGGGACAGAAAGAGCTAATGCAAGGGAAGGAACAGTACAGATCACAATTATGATTTGGTCTGAGAGAGGCTGGAGAGGAATGAGCAAGAGGATAGTAGGGGATAATGTGAGTGAAGTGACCAGATCATGTCAGCCCTTGTGCCCCAGAAAAAGCACTTCACTTCTGCTTTGAGAGAGATGGGAAGTCATTCGAGGGTTTGAGCAGAGGAGTGGCGTGATCTAATTTAACAGACCACTGTCTTGAAATTAGACTGGATGAGGGTAAGAGCAGAAACAGAGGCCCATTGAGGAGGCTGCTGCAAGAATCCAGGCGAGAGATGACGGTACCTGGAGCACGGTGATAAAGGGTGTGTGTGCAAAGACACTGGATTCCGGATGTGTTTTGATAGACTAGGTAGAGTTGATGAGATTCACTAATGGACTTTTCATGAGGTGTGAGTGAAAGAGATAAACAGTGGCACCAGGATTTTTGGCCTGAGCAGTTAGAAGAACAGAGTTTACATTAATGGAAACGGAGGCTGCAAGGAGGGCTTGGGGATTGGAGCTTCCTTTTGAACATAGGAAGTTTAATACTAGACATACAAGCGGAGATGTCAGGAAGGCAACTTTTTAATGGAAGAAACACAGAACTATTTTTAAATATTACTGAACCGATAGTGGCTCTTTTCAGCATAATCTAAAAGCAGTATTATCGTGTTTGTGTCAGCAAACTATTTTGAAATTGAAAAAGAGCCTTGTATTGGAAAAGGTTGGAAACAGAGGTAAGTTCAAGTGACCATTTTAGTGGCCAATAAATATTATTTATCCTTTTCCTCTTCCTTTAATACATGTTGATTTCACATTTTGGCATCATTGTACAGATTTTGAAATCTTAATTTTGGCCTTGGGATTTTTTGTTTTTTAAATAAAGCTTACAGTGGAACTTTCTGGTAAGGAAAACCCTAAGGGTGGCAGAATTGTGTTCACTGGTGTCCATGTTATTTCTTTTGGAAGGAAATTAGAATGTTCACCTAGGACATGTTCACTTATTATTTTCTTGCGCTCCTAACCTGTGACCTGCATGTCACTCCATGCTATTTGGGATGACAAAAGAAGAAAGGGACAGAGCTCCGTGCTATTGTCAAATTTGCAATACGAGGTTAAGAAATACATGTGTCTTGTGGAAATACTGACTGTTTTATTGTGATTTTAATTTGCATAAACACCTCATTTTAGTAGCATTGATTTGTGATGGTTCATTTTAACGTCTACCCTTCTCAGTCTTACGCGGGGAAATATGTGCCAGCCATCGCCCACTACATCCACATGCTCAACCCCGTGATGACCATGAAGATGAACCTGAAGGGAATTGCTCTTGGAGACGCGTATTCTGATCCCGAGTCAGTAGGTGGCTCTTTTTTCCTTTCCATTTTGTTCCTTAAGGAGAGTAAATACCCTTTAATCAGATGGAGGCTCCTCTTACCCCACAGACCTAACTTCATACAGGGAAATACTGTTGCTCAGTTGACTTTCTAATGATTTAAATCTTCTAATTTTTACCAAATGTTTTACAGTGTCAACTTACTATATGTCAGCCTCCGTTGGCTGTGAGTGCAAGTGTCAGTGTGTGTATGTACGAGTGTGTGCACCTGTGCTTGGTGTGTTTTTATCTTGTGTACATGTGTGTTGTATGAGTGTTTGTGTGGTTATGTGGTGTGTGTTTGTGTATGTTTTGTGTATATGTGTGTGGTGTATTTGTGTGTTATACACGAATTGTGTGTGTGCTGGGTGTTTGTGTGTATGTGTGTGTCGTGTGTATGTCTTAGGTATGTGTGTGTTTGTGTGGTGTATTTTGTGTTGTGTATGCATTGTGTGTTGTACGTCTATGTTTGTGTGGGGTGTGTGTATATATGTGTGTGTGTGTTGTCCTGCTCCGCTAATTGAGAAGTTACAAAGGGTTATTTCACAAGCAGATGGGCTTCCCTCACATCCCTCTCTCTCCATGCGGAGTCTGTGTTTGCCTCTTTTCTCCTCAGATCATACAGGGCTATGCACCATTCCTGTTCCAAATTGGCTTGTTGGATGAGAAGCAGAGAAAGTACTTCCAGAAGCAGTGCGATGAGTGCGTGAAATACATCCAGGAGGAGAAGTGGTCTCAGGCCTTTGAAGTGAGTTCTGGGGCCTGCGCTGCCCTGGCGCAATGAGCACCATCTGAGAAGGTCCCGGAAGCACTGCGGTGCCTGGCCTGGCTCTTTGTTGTTAGCCAAGGTGTTTCCTTGGTGCCGTCCCGAGATCAGGAGGCAGACAGTGGGCTCGTAAGGAAGAAAAGAGCCATCTGGGTTTCTTTGAATTTACTTTGACCATATTTTAAACCTGAGATCACCTCGGGGTGTTTATCTAACTGTGTCTTTCATTAACTGTTTTGATTTCTTGAAATGCTGTGTAGGCCCTCAAGGCATCCCTACCATAAAGAAATCAGAAGAAAGACAACCTGGAAAGTGGATGCATATGCTTCCCCATGTGCTCTAAACCCTTCAGAGGGTAATATCCACACACAGGGCTCCAGCTGGGGAAGTGGCCACAGTGTAACAAATGTCACATGTTCCTGTGTGTCAGGAACAAAGAGTATAAAGGGTGGTGGCTTGAAACTTTTACAAAGAGCCATTGGCATTTGTAAATATCGCCACATCTGCTCTCCTAAAATTAAATTAGAGGATCAAGTAACATGGTTATATTAGTCAACCTTTATTTTTGGTTGTTTAAAATGTAAGACTATACTAAATATTAGGATGCAGGAGGGTCTTGTTTATTGCTCGTTTGTTTTTTGGCCAGTGCAGACAAAGATCACATGTAAGCAACCTTCCTTGGGGGGTTTTGTCACCTTTGCCATAGAGCCTGTGAGTTTGACACATTAGTAAATGAGGTGAGGACTGAATTTTGAGACCTTTCATCTTGTTACTGGGAACACAGCCTGTCACAGTTTACCTAACATCATTGTTATTATTAAGGCCGAGGCCTGGTATTAATAGTCTTTTAGGCGCTGTAGGTCAGCTGGTTCAGATCAAAACAGGAGACATACGAACTTATGGAGAAGGCTGGGGTAACAAAGTTGTGCTCCATTTTACAAATAGGGTGCCAGGGCAGTGACTGCCCTTGTTGTGAGTTCTGACAGCAGCAAGCTGTGTAAATAGGAGAACTCAGGCAGTCCCGAGCCACCCCACAGCACCCTGGCGGGCTCCCCTTTCTGTGCCAGGACACTTGATGTGGCTGCAGAGCGTGGATTCAGAATTTCTTGTGCAATTGTGAATGTGAAGGAAAGAAGGAGGATCTTATCAGGGACGTGTTGGGTCATTCTTCAACTTGCAATCACAGTATTTTCAAGACTGGTCTTAGGCTGTCTGCTGTGGTAGGCAGAAAGGGTATAAAGGACTAAACGTTTAGAATTCAGAATTAATATGAAATTTTACATTGCATGAGACCCATCTGCAAGTGAGACATTTGATGTGTTTCTGAAGACGCATATGTCAAGAACAAGCGTAAGCAGTGTCAAGAGCAAGAATATTTGATAGTCTCAAAGGGATAAAGGAAGCAGAAAGATGTCTGTGGTGCGTGATCCAGCAGCCTAAGCGTCCACAGGATTACTGAAACTGTTGAAAAGTTCAGATATTGTGTGTATTCAGAGATAATGAGAAGATGGCCCATGAGGTCTCTCCCAAACCAGATTCATCAAAAACTAGAGAAACCCCCCACCCCTCCCGAAAAAAAAAACTCTTGAACGTATGCAATGTCTCTGTGACCACTGGTCCAAAATCTTGAGTGATAAATGAAAAGACTTTTGCTTTTTCACAGGAAATAGATGAAATGATACTTAGGAAAGTAATCAAGTAGTGGTAAAATGTGTTTCACGTTATGCAATACAAGACTCCAAGAAATCCTGAAACCCAAGAGAATACAAATGTCAAAATCTCAAGCCTAAATAATAAAGCCTTTTTGATGTTCTGATCCCTTAAAATGATTTAGTTAATAAAAGAGCGGTAAGTCGGAGCTGAAGGGATCAGCTTCTCTCCCGACACACACCCCTGGCGTTCGCCTTCTCATTCTCTGAATATTTTGGCTCCTGCCTCAGTGTCACTTTCCAGCATTACTCTTGTCATCATTTCTGGTGACTGAAGTCTCCACATGGATGATCTTTTTAATACTTGGTCCCTCAGTTTCTTAGTCTCCTCTCATTTAACGATCTTGTTCTCTTTACCTTAGCTGCTTATTCCCATTACCCCCTGCAAAAAAGCCAGCAATCACTCCACAATCTCAGATTCAACAGATTCAAACGTCTTCCCCCAACTGCCGCCTCCCGTCCTCCCGGCTCACTTCTCTGAATATGCCAACTTGAATTACAGCCCTGCAACCCCATTGTCTTTCAGTCCATGGATCCTACTACCTCTCATGGTCCCCTACCCCTGCAGGTCTTAATTTCTCTAATTACCCAACATAAGCCCAAGCTCAGTCATTACATACATTCCCCACCTACGGCCCCCCTTTGCACCTCCTCCAACTCCTTTGGCCAAGCCATAGTCCTGGCTAGATGCCCCTCTCTACCACTCCATGCCTGCCTTTGTGCAGCTCAACATGACCTGAGAAAAGCACACAACTGTGCCGACTGCTCTCACCTTCAGCTGATGACCGGGTTTTCAATGTCAGCAGTCCAAAGATAACTTCCACCAGTTCCAAGCACCTGAGTGTATGTCCATATCCTCTGCCCTGTCTCCTCGTACATGGGTGAGTGGTCAATGATCATGTTATGGTAACCCTTCCCCACAAGACTCACTCCCGCAGTCGGGGCCTTTGGGCTCAGTTTCCTCTACTTGGAAAGTTCTTTCCCTGGATGTCTTCCGGGCTTGCTTCCTCCCTTCCAACAGGTCTTTACTCAAATGCCACCTTCTAAGTGAGACCCGTTTCCTCCTATCTGCAGTGTCCCCCCACACCCACCACCCAGGCACACATACCCCACAGGCACCCATGGCACTTCCTACTCCCCTTCTCCTTGTTAGTTTTCTCCTTAACCCTTATCATTTTCTAATACACTGCATATTTTACCTATGAATCCTTGTTTATTGTACCCTCTAGAAAATAAGCTCTATGAGGGAGCATTTTTGGCCTGCCTTGTTCACTGCTGTTTCCCCAGTGCCTTGGACAGTGTCTGTAGCGCGGAGAAGATGTGTGGGAAGCGGTTGTTGAATGAAACAGTGATTGAATAAATGAAATGACAAATGCCTGTATATTTTTACCCACCCTGATGTTTTCCTCCTTCCTTTCTCCCCTCTCTCCCAACCTAGTTACTGGATAAACTACTAGATGGTGACTTAATAAGCGAGCCTTCCTACTTCCAGAACGTTACAGGATGTTCTAATTACTACAACCTTTTACAGTGCACGGTAATGACAACAATTTATAAAAACATAATAGTGTTTGCTTAAAACTTTTGGCAAAACCAAACTTCCTCCAATTTAAGAAATAGGAGAGCTGACTTTACACTAGACAAACATGTCCAAACTGTATTGCATTATTTGGTATACTAATCTATAGGATTTTTCACCCTGCCAGTGTTGTATACATTATAATCTGACCATTGAGAGTGTGTGATATTCCAGATAACTCAAAAAGAAATCTCCGATTAACACAGTTTCCCCCCACTAGAGCTTGTTATACAGAAGTTCTTTTGTGAAGGAGACAGGCCAGGATTGCAGTTCTGGGTATCAGGTCCCAGAGCTCCAATACCCTGTAGTGAGTTTCTTGAAAATGCCCACATTATTTGTTCTGTACTTAAGACAGCTTGGATAACCCAAACTGCCAAAGCCTTTATGAAAATATTTGCTTTGTCTTACTTTTAACCTAAGATGTTTCATGCATTCAGTACGGCCCTCACTTCAAGCCCTCTGGAATATTTCTCAAAGTATTCAAATAGTTTCTTTCATAAAAGTGGGCTAAAATTTGATGTCTTTTGGGTAGAATTAATCAAATAAGATAGAGGGAGCCAGACTGGGGATTTGGATTTCTATAACCATGTCTAGTGGCTATGACAATACATTCTGTTTTTAAAATTGCCTTACTTATTAACTATTTTGTAAATAAAATATAAAGCTAATTTCAATGGAATTTGCCAGCCCTGTGGTTTTGGATTTAGATTCTACCAAGAGAAAAACATATGCTAGGCAAGAAAGAAGCAAAATTTGTGATTAAATATTTTTCTTTACAAAGAAAATGTATTCACAGTTAGCAAAAAATATTGATGATTCACAAAATTGTTGATTTCAAACTCTTTTTTTTATCCTTTTGTAACTTTTTAAAAACAGCATTTACTCCTTTTTTTTTCTTTTAGCATAAGGAATCTTACAGAGACTTTTATGCAGTATTTTTAAAAAATAAGGTTTATGGACAACTTCTCTTTTGTCTTATGTCCTTCATAAGGTATCATCTGTTCTTACACTTGATATATTTTCCCCCTTAAATTATGGTCAGCTGATTATTTTGTGCGTGTGGTTTTAATAAACGGCAGAACATGAAAAAGAAATCCTCAGCTTTTAATCCACCATATCACCTCCCTGGCCCCTTGTGGTCCATTTCACCTTCTTTCCCGAGAGCCTCCAACAAGGAGCAAATTGATTTTGATAATCTCGCCTCTTCATTTTTCCTATCTTTGCCTTGAATGGGGTTTTTAATTGGAATTACAGATCACAAAAGTTTTGTTGTTACAAAAAGGAAAATCCAGCATTTGCAAATTGGATACTGGCTCCAAGAGTATCAGGTCATCAGATATGCTTGGTAAAATTTGAATTTCCCCAAACCCCCAAGTTAAAATATTCAGGGTAGAGACCAGTTAATAGTGGTGTCACATCTTGTTCATTGTGATATATGTTAGGAGAGATTTGAAGCTTTCCCCAAAGTACTGTTCCCACCACCCACTCGTTTTCCCTAATATTTTTCTGATGCCAGGAACCTGAGGACCAAAGTTACTACAGGAAATTTTTGTCCCTCCCACAAGTGAGACAAGCCATCCACGTGGGAAACCAGACTTTTAGTGATGGATCCGAAGTTGAAAAGTACTTGCGAGAAGATACAGTAAAGTCAGTGAAACCATGGTTAACTGAAATCATGAACAATTATAAGGTAAGAGACTTAACTTTAGTTACTATCTGTTTTAGGAACTTTTCAGATCACCCAAAGCAGAAGTGACCTTCTTTTATTCTTAATTTGACTCCTGCCTTTTTTTACTTTTATGATACCTTACAAATGTAAGTAACAACTGCTGCATTGTTTGATTTCTTTGAATTAAAAGTTTTATTTTTTCCTTCTAATTAAATCACTTTCCCCCGAAAGTTCCTAAAAATGAAATTCTCTTTGGCACATGACACCTCTCATCATTTCTTGAAAACAGAAGGAGAGCAGAGCCGAGAAGATGACTGGCCCTGTGTAAGCCAATTTTCCCTTATTGTTTGCCTTATTATGTTAATCCCAATGAAGTCAGGGATAAATGAAATTAACTGGTTATTCCAAAAATGCTTTTTGCTTGATAATTGCATTCATTCACATTGCTCAACCAGTTTCTTCAGGGCCGGCTTTAAGCCAAACGTTGTGCTAGTCTGTCAGGTTGAAGCGTTGAATGAGACAAGGTCCCTGTTTTGAGGTATGTAAAGTCAATCACTGTGTTATCTGACTGAGATGTTCTGCCTGATGTGCTGCTGGTGGTACCAGAGGTTCAAGCAGAGGAACTGTGGACCCTCGAACTCTCACTGTGAGGGAAGGACACCACGAGCAGGTGACAGGGGGACAGTCATACTGTGCATTTCTTTCCCCTTTATTTCTCTTCTCACCTCCTCCTCTGATCCTCCAGGACTGTTAGCATATGTCCTAGGCATGGTCTGGGGGTAGCTCAACAGGATAAGTGTGTTATGATAGAGAAGATCACCACCAGAGGTGATCCACTTTCGCTCTGTTTCCTGGCAGAGGCAAGAGTAATATTTGGAATGAACAAAAAACAGGGCAACCAGTAACCAACACGTGAATCAGACAAAAGGCAACCTTTCCTCAAAATACTTTATTTCTATCTGTCCAAAAATTGTCCTAATATACTGCTTTTATTTGAACCAGACTCTTTACTGCCATTTTCTGACATAAGGAAAACACATTTCAACAATGTCTATGTTAGGAATAGTGTCTCTTGGGATTGTTCAGTGCACAACCTTCAGTACTACCCAGGGAGCCCTTGACCTAATGCACCCTTACTAGATTGTGTTTTAGAATATGCCCGACCTAGAAGACCTATTTTCTGATCCTGCCTCTAGTACAGAGAGTTTGAATCCTAGACATACAACTTTTTTTTTTTTTTTTTTTTTTTTTTGCGGTATGCGGGCCTCTC